AGAAGATGGACATCCACACACTAAGAAGTGGGACACCACCAGGCTTGGAATCTGCTGCCACCTTCATCTCTGACTTCCCAGCCTCCAGAACTTGAGAAACACATTTTTACTCCTCATTTTTGCCACCCACTTCTGGCAGTTTGTTATGGCCTCTGGAATGAACGGAGACACAGGCTTTGTGGATCCTCCAATGACTGAGAGGCAGAGGCACCTGTAGGTAGCGTCTGGCCTCAGGCTGTGTTGGCACCACACAGCACCAGCTCATACCTCATGAGATTGTGCTTGCTCCCAGGGGTCACCTGAACTAGGAATCTGCTCTTTTAACCTAAGTTCCTAGTTGAGCCTTTGGGATCCAGAAATTTGACAATCACTTTTTCAACAAACAGGATATAAATGACAGAAACACATATCATATTTTCTTGAGTAAATTTATTGCAATTTCATCATTTTACTGATAAAGCAAAGCTATTATGGATCCAAACTCTTTTGAAAGATCTCCTGCCTTTATTTTTTTGCGGGGGGTATACTGGGGATCAAACTTGGGACCTGACCTTGTGCTTACGAGGCAGGCGGCAGAATCACTGACCTAAATCTCCAGCCCCTTGTCTTTACTTTTTAGGCATGCTCGATGCAGGCTGCTTCTCACTTTTTATAACTTGCTACATACAGAACATCATGCCTTAAAGTCTCCATCACATTATCAGTTCCTCTACTTACTGTCTCCAAGTTTCTTCTCCCTAACGCTTTCCTGTTTCCTCTCCATTCCCCAGTTCCAACCTCACATCCTTAGGGAAGCCTCCTCTACCTTGAGACAAGGTCAGAGTCACCTGTTCTAAGCTGCATTAGTACCTTGTAATTTGGGTCCTACCACTAGCCACACAGTGATTGGTGACTATGTTAAAAATTTTTAAGACTTCTCTCATGAAAACTGAAAGAGGGTAAGAACAGTTTCCTCCTTGTCTACACAAGATCCGTTATGTCCAACATGGAACATGTTATGGATTAAAATGTGTTCTCACAAAATTCACATCTTATGTCTATATTGGAGGTAGAATCTTGAAAGTGGTAATTAAGGTCAAAGAAGGATATAAAAGTGGGGCTCTTGTCCAACCAAGATGGAGCTTTCATAAAAAGAAGAAGAGGCACAGTGATGTACAGACATCATTGGATGACCACAAACCTTGCTGAGAAGATACAGCAAGGAGGGGACCATCTGGAAGCCAAGGAATAAAGCCTCAGGAGAAGCCGACCCTGCCAGCAACTTGATCTTGAACTTCTTTGATCTTAGATGTCGAACCTCTAGGACAATAAGATAGAAATTTTGGTTGTTGCATCCTCCAGTCTATGGGATTTTGTTATAGTAACTCTAGTGGACTATTACAGAATGGAGACTCAGCAGCCATTCAGTGACCAGCAGTGACCACACCTGGGCAGCAATATGTTCTCTCCACTCTCACTCTCTTTGGGGGAAAATCAGACTGTTCAGTTTGCTTAAGAATGGATAAAAGATATAACCCGAAGACACTCCCAGAGCAGGCCATGCTGCTTATGCAGGTAGTTGCTTCCTCAGAAGCAAAGCTTGGGACCAACACAATACCCTGAGCTGTGGTCTGGACCATTACATAATCCCAACAGCTCTCCTACACCTAGTCAAGCCACCATGGATGGCTCAGTGCGGCAGAGATTCAGCCTTCTCGGGAAACAGAATACATGAGAAATTCACAAGCATCTACATAGAAACTGAATTCCTAAACTGAAAATGAAAATTCAGTTCTCATTTACAATGCTGTCTTACCCTAGAAATAATCTCATTTTAATTCCTCATTCTTTATGGTAAGAAACAGTTTTGATGACACACAATTGTGCATTTGAATCACAGCTATCGCTTAGCATCTCTGTGACCTCAGCAGTTACTTCGTGCAGTCGGTCCCAATTTCCTCATCTGCAAATGAGGAAACATCTATTCAATAAAAGAAACATAAAAGCTATTTAATAAGGTTGTTGGGAATATGAACTAAGGAACATAAAGTGTCCTCAACAAACTGTAACTATGTATTATCATAAAGAAGTTGGATTTTATCACTAATAATTAATGTAATGTTAGCACTTATTGAGAGTTGTCTACTCTTTGACAATCATAACCATAGAGCATATTAGTATCAGTTCTTTATTTACCAAAATATTTGCTCCCAAAGCCCAATTTTTATTCATTGACAATTAAAATCTTGTGCTAGATCTTGCCAAAATATATAGATGAATTAATCCACAGATACTTTGAAAGTAAAAACAAGGGTTTCTGCTTGACTGGGCTTTTCTTATAACCTCTATGCTCCACCACTGGAGGATGTGAAACCAAGAGCTGTGTGAAGACGTGCAGAACACCTTTCACCACAGGACCCTAACAACAATCTCTCTCTTTGACAAGAAATTTATGGTGGGCTGCAGAAACCTTAGTTTATTGATGATTAAGGTATCAACTGTCCTTGATACAAATAAACAGGCTTTCCGAATCATAAGCAAGACAGGGTAGCTAGCAGGCCCTGAGGGCTGAGCGATTTATGAGGCATTCAATTCCCATCAATGCCTTGTCAGTGCCTCCAAGGGGTCTGGCAGGTGTGTGTTTAGAGGATGGATGTCTTCTACACAGTCCAAAGAGCACAACAAATTCAAAGTCTCTGCTACTACTGAGGCTTTAGCACTGGGACTTTCTGTGGCCCCAGATTCTGTGTTCCAAGTCATTTAGGGCATGGCTTAGGACTGAGAATAGCAACTCCTGTATAGACAAGTTTCCACAACAAGTTCTAAAACTATGTTAAGGAGCTAGGAAGACATTCCAATGGCCAAGTAACCAAGTTTGACCATATCAACCAATAATAAAGTCCCCCTTAGTCCTTTTCTTTGTAGGCAAAAGGACAAATATTTTAACAAAGATGTGCAGAATATACAGACTTCTTCTTCTGCTAAGACACAGGGTGATGATACATCCCACTTGCCGCAGGACCATGTGACTAGTTTAGCCAATGCGCTGGTGGGAAGAAGTGATATGTGACCAAAGCATTTAACTGCTGTTATAACTTCCTCTAATGTTGAACAAGAAGGATGCAGATGCCAGATGGTGCAGCTATGAGACCACCAAAACTCCACTATCTTAAATCCTAGATTCACTGTGTATTTAAGGACCCCACCAACCCACACTGAACATTTAGTGTAAGCAAGAAATAAAATAGTGCTGCACTTAAATATCATACACCCTCCATACTAGGAAAAGCAAAAGTGTTTCCTAATTTGCTTCTTCCTCTTATCATTTTGCTATAGGTTCCGGCTACAGAAAATGATTGGACTAATGACCTCAGGAGTCAGACTGTGATGAATTCAACTCCTCCTTTGGTGGTAATTCAGAGCCACCTCTCGATTTTCTCAGAATTAAGACAGACAGACAAAAACAGCAAAGTACATGGAGCTTATTATCTTTATTTCTTACAGAAATGCCTTCATGGAATTACGATTCAAGGCTGTGCTGGTGTAAAACACTGACACAGGAACTGTCTGTTTGACGTGCATCCCTGTGTCCTGTAAAATCACAGTTGTGCACAGTTCTGCCCACTTGGATGACCCAAGGCCTCATATTTGGACCTGTGAAGTAGTCACCTGATGAATTTCAATTCCAAGGAAATTGTTTGTCTCCGCGGATCAGTTTTGCGATACAGTTTTGTTTCCTGCCAATAAAAAGCAATGCAATTTGCTTAGGGTTTTGAATAAAAGAAAACTTAGGACCACATTCAAGGACTGACTGTGGATTCTGCAGCATCTACTCCAATGGCCTCTCTTTTTTGCCTCCCTTTTTAGACCCTGTGTGATATCTTACATTTCCAGCTTGAAGAACACTGGGTCCATCACCTCAGAGTCAGAAATGAGTCCATACCCAGTACCCAGTCAAGAAAATCGCACAGGGAGATTACTCTGCGGGTTCATCAATCCACCATCACTGATGGAGGGCCCAGATGCACCTGCTCACAATTTCTGTTAGCTTAACATCAGACACATGGAAATGTTTGGTGTCAATGGGCATTTGGAAGATTCCTCTAGGAAGTGTTACTTTACTGAAAAATCCTTAGGGAGATTATACATCCCTGCATGCTGCAGGGTCATGTGATGAGTCTAGCCAACAGGTTGTTGACAGGAAGTGAAACATGATGTAGACTTTAGAAAAATCATGAAGACTTTCAAAGGCCAAATGGACAGCTGAGTCTGCCTCATTCACAATATTTGTATCCTCCATTCACAGAAGCCATCTGGTCACTGATGTTAAGCAAGACATCAATCCACAAAAACAGTCTTACCAGTCCTTTGCTGATTCTTAACAATACATTTAACTACTTTTTCTTTTTCATATTACCACAGCAGCACATGCTCACAACAGGAAGAGTAAAGGGAAAGGAGGGAAGGACAAAGCAGAAGGCACAGAAAGTGATACTGGCTGTTGCATCTTCTGAGTTCCCAGACCTCTGCCCAAGCTACTGGCTTATAGCCCTGGGGCAGGGAGATATCACGATAGCTGCTGCCTTATAAAGAAAGCACCAAGGCTAAATTCCTCATTGAATGACACAGAGCACAGCCAATCAGTCATAGGAGCAGAATTTGAACTTAGGCCTGTGTGATCAAGTTCACTAATCTAACTTTGAAAACAAATGAATTATACCTGCTCTGTATGGAAATAATCATCATTGCTCTCTTCCTGTGTTTCCTTCAGAATCTTTTTCTGAGTACAGATAGATATATATTCTTGTAACAAGAATATGCTTATACTGTACACATAATTTTCTAAGCAGCTTTTTATATTTTTAAAAAATTTCAGTTCTTAGTAAATATTAAGTTATCTGGATATTCTCAGAAGCCTAAATTAATTATACCTACCCACTGTTTCCTCAATTCAGCTGACAATGACCATAATTCTCATAAAACTTTGAGAAATGAGTATAAGTGTATAGAAGCCCACAGAAACCCCAGCGCAAGCAGGGACTAACAATGAGAAGTGGAGTGCAGCTACTACATGCCGGCACAGTCACAGGGACATGTCATGGCCAGAGCCGCACAGCAAAAACAGCAGCATTAATGAGCAACTGACAAAACTACATCTCGTTCGTGTGTCAAAAATAAAGCTAATCTTTCCCTTCTTTCACCCCAAATCAGTGGTTGTCAAGAACACTAATCATGTCCGTAAGCAGGAACAAATATATGTGTAATTGACAAATGTGTTGGATCATCACATGTGACACATACGGGGGAACCCAAGGCCTAAACAACATTAATGTTTGGATCCAGGGCTCAGAACCAAGGCCGTGTCTAAGTGAATACATGGTGCCCCTCTCCCCAGCTGTGGTGTGAAGAGTGCCAGGGTTCCTGATTCCATTTTTATCCTGGTTCCCGCTGCAGGCTCTGTGTCTGATATTTCACTTTTTCTGACTTGTGTCTAAATACATGACTGTGTCACTCGCTCAGACAGACAGCAAACATAGATCACAGGCCAGAGAAAGTGTCAGCTGCACAGAAAGAAGGGATTTTTTAAAATTTTTAGATTAGTTTGCAACTTGTAGCTAAGTGCATGTGTGTACCCATGGGGGGTGGGTGTGCAGGAAGGAGGAGCCAGAAAGGGAAATGGGAAATATTTGTATTTCAATGTCATTGTTGTGTTATAAATTTGTATTGGATCTGATCCTCTTTATGAAGAGAATATAAATTGCTTGGTACAGGTACAATAGCAAGATATAGAAAATGAGCACATTCTGGCATCAAATATAAATGCTCTGGGGGTCATCACTGGTGTTAAATGATCTGGTGCACTTCACCCTGACATTAGCGTTAGTAATTATCAGCTGCCTCACTTTAGAGAGAAAACATGCTTTGGCAAGGTGCAGAAACTTCATTTCCCTAACAACCGCTGCAAGTGCCATTTGTGCTCGTGCACTTGTGGAAACTCGCTCACACACAGAAGAGAGTGCAGAAATGTTTTAAAGTGCGTTTGTGTGCACCATAAAATGTAACATCTCTGGATCTGAAGTCCTCCTTCTGTCAACAAGAGCTAACTAAACAGTTTGCACTTATACTGTGTCTACTTTGGGCTCACATAGAAAATCTTACTGGAAGAGAAAGCAACTCTAAATGACTACTCCAACCCCTCTCCTTAAATAACACTTGAGTGTCCTTCCTAGAACCACAGCGACAGGTTTTGTAACAAGAGTGCCCAAAAGAAAAGCAGAATGTTGGGAGTTTTTGTGAGTTGTTTTACACAATTTTCACAAAAATTCTTTTAGAGTGAAACAGGCTTCACTGGGGCTACTATGATTGTTGTACCTAGTTACCAACGTAAATGCTCTAGGATTCAATTCAGCACAAACTTTTCTACCACCTACTATGTGCCATACACTGAGAAGTCTAGAGGAGAAATGAAGCAATTTCAAGAAAAGGAATGAGAAAGATAGACATGAACAATCAGAGATACGAGTCCCTTAAATAGTTTGCAACACAAAATTGTATCTCCCGCCATGAGGTGCTCCCGAGGTCTTCAGACTGCATCTTTCTTGGGGCTCTTTTACTCTTCACCCCACCGCCTGCAAAGGGCATGATCCGGTCTGCTTGGTGTCCAAAGCCACGATTGCTGGTAATGGAAGAAATTGCAATAGAAGAAACATATAAACGAGGTAAGTTTCCGAATGCATCTCATAGGTACTATTCAGGACAAAATGAACAGAAATAAACAATCCTCCAGTATCAGGTGATATATTTTATATGTTTCCCCTCCACTTGTTTTCAGAAGTAGCAGAAAGAAAATGCGCCTAAATCAGGGTTTTAAAATCAGACGCTGGTATTAGAAATAAGATTAACCCAGTCCCTTAACAATCAAATTTATGACTAGTAAAGGGTTATGAAAAATTCTATCTCAGTGTCAAATGCAGGAAACACAGAGTCTTCGGAGGCGTATAATGATAAACTGCAGCTTGAGCAATAAGCGCAGTGAACAGAACGAGCAGTTCAAGAGTTCAGAGCATGTGCGTCTGAAAGGTGTTCAGTTAAAGAGGAGGGCAGCCACAGACAAAGGCATGGAAAGGTCATCCTTACAGTTATTCCATCTTCATTACCACCGAGAGCCTGTGGCCAGAGTGCACACACTGGGACCAGCATGCACGCCACACTGGGGATTGAGGCTCATGAGGAAATTGAAACACTAAACAAACACCAATGCCATTGGGGCCTCCAAATGCAACCCCAGACACCCAAAATAAGTTGATATGAACACCCCCACATACACTGCCCCAAACTTTTTTTTTTGGTGTAAGTGATAGATTAATTTAAGATTACAATCTAGCTTCTTCAGAAGGCCAGAGAATGGATGTGCAATCAGCAACTTCATTTTATTTCAGGTAACTGCCAAACTTAAATTAGTTATCCGAATAAAATAATTTCCCCCCATCTGGACAGCTCAGAATTCTACGTTCAAATGAGATGGTGTTGTTCATTGTTTGCTCTGTGCCTCAACCCCCATCTTTCAGTTTTGAGGAATTGGGGGAAAGGTGAACTTCATTTACTGATTATCAGCAAGGACTCCTGAGAGATAGGCTGGTGCTGCTGTAATGGGAAAGCAGCCCAACCAGCGCCTCCGATAACCTTCCTGAGAAGGCCAAGGCCAATGCCACTCCATTTTGAAGTGGTGACAACACAGAGGTGGGAGATTCGACTCTCCCAGCATATTCCCGACCAGGCAACACCAGCTGCCTCAACCAACCTCCTCCTCATCCAGTGGGGAGCCTTGGTCCATCCATCCAGCAGTTGAGGCAATGGGGTCCTCTACCATAGCTCCTATGCCATAAATGGTATCATTACAACTACATAACAACGACAGCACCATTTCCCTCCCCATTCCCACCTCTGTGTGAGTTTTCGTAGGTGGCCTGGGTTCCAGCTGCAAGTGACGGGTTTAGCAAGGCAGCCTGGTGAACTGGATTGCAGGATGCAAGAGAAAAGGCATCACATAATGGTGATGGACAGCATAAAATCAACTATATCTCCGGTGAACTGGAAGGCAGTGAGTGTCATAGTTATGAGCTCAGCACCTATAGTCAGCAAGAAAACCAGCTCCATCACTTAGGGGACCTATAACTTAAGGCAAGTTACATCCTCCTGAGCCTTCATTTGCCCACCTGGAAAACAGACGTCATTTATCATTGGCTTGTTTTAAGGAGTAACTCAAATGACAGAGAAACACAAAATAGATGGGAGGAATAAAAGGAGTGATGAAAGGAGGGAAAGAGAGGGAGGCAAGTAACTGACATTGGTTTTTTTCAAAGAATTAGCCCTGCAGACAGCATATACCATGGGCTCAATAAATATATGGCATCCGCTGTTTTCCACTGACATCTATGATGAGGCTACATTTCCATGTCTATGGAAATTAAGAGAAAATCATATCCTGTGACGTTCTCCAGTGCGGGTGTCCTGGTGGACATCTGTCTTAAACCCAGGGACAATAAGGACAGCCAGCACCATGCAAGTGCCCAGTGTGTGCAATGCCCATGGCAGGTTCTTCACAAATGTTAGCACTCAACTCCCAGGTAGCTTCAACGTGGCTCCACTGCTGTGACTAACACCAGACAATGAATGCTAACCTGGGCGAGGACCTTGCATGTGCCAGATGCTCTGCACGTAAGATCTGCTGACCCACGGTGAAGGGATCATCCTCACACCACCATCCAGGACATGAGCCCCAAGAAGCCGATATCCATTCATCTCTGAAGCACTAGTGATGAATCCCCTTCAAGACATATTTGCTTCTGTTCTTTCCCTGACTCTACCACCAATGAAGACCACGTGCTTATCAACTACAGGGGACAAGGGACCATTTCAGTAACTGTCAAAGATATCAGCCAAAGTAGGGCTCCTTTGCAAAAATGTTTCAAGAGTCCACGGCATAAGACACAAAGACGATCTTCTTTCTGAGGGGTCTTTCAAGTCCCTTTCTCTGTTTCCACACAGTGGTGGGGCAGGAGGTGGGTGTGTCAAGGGGTAAGGGCAGTGGTGGTGCCCATGGCATCCATCTGATGACTTTTTAGAAAACAAGAATCCTAAACTTAGCTCTGGCACAATGACAGTGGATAGTCAGAGCTGCAATATGGAGCTGGGGAAAAGATAATACTGTGAGCCACTGCCCATATCACCCATGTCCCAGACGCAGGCAGGGAGACCTCATCCAGCCGAGGTCCCCATCACAGATCACTCACACCCTGATGGTGGGGGCAGAATTAGCAGGTGATTTACCTCCCTAAGCAGGCCCAGGGTCTGTCTGCACCCTCTGTTCGTGATGGTGCCAGGAGTTCCTGCACTTGTCTACCTGCCTGGAAGAAACAATTCTCAGAGACAAGAGTGAAAATGTAATTGAATTTTGTAAATTCTATCAGTTGACATCAACTTCTCGGTCGGGAGAATATCAGTCTATAGTTTTAAGAAATAAAGCTATATTGCAGACCAGTGTCCCAAAACACGCAGCTTTGAGAGCCAATATTTAAGCTAAGTCAGGACAACTAGCCTGCAAGTAAGGTCATTATTACCCTATTTCTTCTGGTTGTCTTCTACGACTCTCAGACCTCCATTCTCCGTGGGTCTATCATGCCAAATGTCACTTCCAATTTTTTTTGTAAGTGGAAACGAGATGCTGCAGACATTTAAATCAAAATCAAGTTTTCCAGGGAAATTGAAATGGTCATATTTCACCATCGGTCTCTTGAAGGTTTCCAGTTGGCTGTTACAAGGAACCATCAGGATTTTAAAATGCCAGTAGGATTTACAACAAAGAAGAGCCAGTGACTGTTGAGCATCTACGTGAGGACCTGATTTGTTGGCTGCACCTTCACAGTGTTCTGGGGATGATGTGGTGCTCTTAGTTCTAATGTATGAGGACACACAGGGAGGTAAAGCCTACTTTCAGAGGCTGCATAGCCAACATATCCAGAGTGTCTGTGCTTGAGATTGAGTAGTCAGTCAGATAATTCCAAATTCACTCTCTTTCCTATTTTTTTTCTTCAGTGCTGAGGACTGAACCAAGGACCTTGTGTACACTGATCAAGTTCTCTGCCATTGAGCTATATCCTTGGCCCAAAATTCCTTTTTAACTCAGGGATTCAATGATCCTAATATTCACTTTCCCAGTGTGACTTGATCTATATTACTAACATATCTTTCTTTCTAACAACTTGTCTTTTAATTTGGGGATGCATTTATAGGGCAACTATTCTTTCTCTGTAATCATACTAGTTACTAGGTTCTAGCTATTAACAGGATGGATATCTGTCTGTCCTCCTGGAGCCCCACAAAGAGACAGAAATGTAGACAAGCAATGAGTGCTATTTGTGCTAAAAACAATCATGGAGATCTAAAAAATAAACCTGAGTGAACACTCAGTAGGCACTCCCATCTTTGTCTCCCAGGAAAGGTTTTCAGGAAGGAATAACATTTACACTGAAATCTGATGGATGGAGCTGAAGCTGGCTGTGGAAGAAAGAGGTACAAGAAGATAATTTTCAAAGGGTAGAAAGATCAAAGCTTGTCTTGGGCCTGCATAGGATTCTCCCATTTATACCTGCATACCTCTTACACTAGAAGTCTCTCAAATGTGTAGGCCCATCTTGGAGACTCTATTAGTAAGGCAGCTGTGCTTCTAACTCATCGGGAATCCCACAAATCAGGGGTGCATGATGAGGAGACATCCTCTGCTTGCTCAAAGGAGAGGCAAGGCTGAGTCTGTTGCCAGCTCCAAGTCCCTCTCCAGTGGGCTTGCTGACACTGGGTATGCAGTACACAGTTGCCCCAACTATAGCACAGTAGCTCCTGAGCATCAAATCCAAGACATCAAAGAGCTGCATGACACATGAGCTCTTTACTTCAAACCTCATTTTGTTTCTTTTCCATGTATAGCTCCTGTAATTTAAAAAAACAAAAAACAAAACAACAACAACAAAAAAAACCCTGTTTTGGGGAGTGTTTGTTTGCTTGGTTGTTTTTTTCTATGCAGTTCAAGCTGGTCTTAAAATCACTATGTGGCCCAGGTTGGCCTACAACTCATGGTGATCCTTATGGCTAAGCCTCTCAAATGCTGAGATTACAGGAGTGCACTTCCACGTGCAGGAAAACAAAACAAAACAAAACAAAACTGGTTTTAAAGATACCTTCAGTGAACCTTCAATTTGCTTCTCAGAGCCAACTTCCAAGACTTCATCAGGGAGAGCAATGTGATGAGCCAATAGGGAGGGTGGTTTAAACTGCATTATTTCTCCCACCTCCCAGCAAAAATACTCAAGGATATTCTTATGGCTTGTACTTAGATGTACCTCAAAGCTTCATGTACTCACAGGTGGAGCTTTTTGGAGATGGCTGGATGTAGGGTGTGTGTTACTGAGACTAAGGGTATGTGATAACTAAATGGATTTAGCATAGTTCTGGCTCTGGATAATGGAAGCCCCACCCTGGGTGTGGATGGCACCAATCAGTAGGCTGATAGCCTGCATAGAATACAAAGGGAAAGAGGGAAGGCAGGCTTTTAGCTGCTGCTTGCTGTTTCACTGCTTCCTGGTTACCCTGCCATGGACTGTTTCTCATCTGAGATGCCCC